AACAAAAGCCAACCTTCTATAGTTGACTTTGTTGATAAAATGTCAACCCTTGATGAAAAATGAATAATTTTGTAATGTTACTTCCAAAGTCTTTCCTTGAGAAATCCAAGCCAACATCAACATGACTTAAGATGGTTTGCATCACAGGTAATAATGAGATCCAACATTGATAATATGAATAAATCAAAAGCACAATATCATTATTAACACACCTTTGACCTAATGATGTTACAATATGAAAATGAAGATGAATGAATGGTTTCAACTAAAATGAATGACTAGAGAAAATGTATTTAGATGAATTAGAACCATAAGCCATTTAAAAATGAAATTGGGAGGGAAAATTTTGGGGTATGACAACATGTAAACATGTGCACCATATGAGAGCCAAAATTGATAAGTTTTCTATGTTACATCAAATTTCATATTAATTGATGGCTTCCAATCAATACTTGAAGATGACGTGTTAATCGCACTTTCAGTGTCTTAGAAGAAAAAAGAGCAGCAAGTCTCTCATATAAAAATAAAGTTCCAACAAATTAAACAACACATAAATACATTTATTTAGAAATAAAAAAAGAGTAACATGGTGTTACCTAATATTTTTGACACAAGTATTGAAGTTCAAATTTAAATAGGATCTTGATAAATTTCCCGCTTTAGGTCGAAATGGTCCAAGCTTGACCATGGGTTTTTGGGCTGATTGGCAGCTGTCCTGTCGAAGGACAATATCAATTCTGGTCGAATAGTCATCAATGAAGACCAAAAGATACATCTGGGACTTAATGAAATTTCAAGTATCTAGCAAGTCGTCTAACTTCTCTATCGAAGGGACTCAACATGGATAAGATCAGACGATTACTCGACAACACATGTAAAGTTTATGAAGAAGAAGTTTGCATGGCGTTGGAAACATGGCTTGTTTTGTTGCATCGATTATTATGGACAGTTATTTTAGGACTAGTATATAAGCAGTAGTTGTTTATAGTTTTAGGGTATACTATTTTACACACAAATCCAAATTACTCAATGTACCAAGTGTTAAGAGAAACAAGTGCAGAAAATATATGTATTACATTCCATTTTTGAATTCAATTTCTTTATCTCTTCATGTATTTTATTGCATTCAAGTGACTTGATTGCATTTAAGTTTCTTTACATTCAATTTATTTGATTGCATTTCATGTTCTTTTACAAACGTTGCATGATTTCGACGTTGATATCAAGAAATTTCAAACATTTGGACCTTTGCACAACATGTCGCAAATATATTTGGTTTTAATCCCTTAAGTGAATTCAAACTTGTTGTGTTAACCAAATTTACAAGTAAACAAATTGGCACACCTGGTGAGACTGTTTGTGCAAAAGCTTACATTTTCTCCAAAATTTTCATGTTCTTCATCCATAAAACTTCTCAAAAACTGTGTGCATGAGATTAAGGAGTGGTATTTGAAGGTTGAAAAAAATACAAGAAAGGGGGGTTTGAATTGGGTTTTCAAAAACTTTTTTTTTAGAAGTTCTTCTTACAAACGACCAATGATAGATAAGCTAGAAAGAAAAATGACACAATCAGTTTATACAAGTTCACCTTAGAAAAGGATACTCTTGTCCACTCGCCAAGGTGATATTTCCTTAGAAAAGGACTTAATCCACTAATCTTGAAAGATTACAACAATTTCTAGGAGCTTAGAAAAAAACCTTAGCCCTCTCAAGTATACAGACTACAACTTAGTCACTTGAGGGAAACAAATCTTGAAAGATTTACAATGAAATAATGTTTACAATAATACTTCTAAAAAGCAGATTTAAAACTACAATGAAGAATAAATTTTTACACAAAAATATGAGCAACAAATATTGTGTATACAACAATGATAATAACACATAAATAAGAAACAATTCTTGTGTTATAAAGAGTAGAAGTTAATACAAATCTGAGAAACAACTCTTTATGTTTTTTAATTTCACTTGAATATTCTCTCTCGTTGTTTTCTTTTGCATAATATATTTTGTTTTAAATTTCTTGATACTTAATATTTGATTTCAATTAAGTATTCATCCATTTATATAGGCTGAGAAAGTAGATCGTCGGATAGTACAAAACGTCACTTTTCATTTTCCAACTGCTACAACGGTAACGTGTGATCGTGGGAGACAAGAGAACAAAAAATCTTTAATCGTACATATCTTTCTTCATCATAGCGGAATAGGTCTTGTACTCTTGTACTATAATCTTCTTGTGCAAGTTTATGATCTTTTCTTCTAATGAGATACTTTGTATCTGAAGTAGTGAAGAGAGTGCAGAAGAGATCACATTTTTGTTTTTAATCTTATGATGGAGTATTTATGATGTGAAATGATAAATATTCTAGAAGACGTTTCATTGTAATGTTTCCAAAAGCATCAAAGTGTTCAAAATCAAAACCTTGTCTTTAGAGTTAGAGCAACAACTTATTTGAGAAATAGTTCTTGATATCTGAGCGGGAAGCAAAAGCTTTTCCGAGAAGCACAATACCTTGATATTTGATCTTTGAAGTAAACTTGATATATGATCAACATAAGTTGATCCTTTTCTAGCGAGCACTCATGACTTATGAAAAAATCAACTTATCTGAAGAAGTACACGTGGATCCTTTTCTAGTGAACATTCGGCATTCATCAGAACTACTACTGGTGTTTTTTCAGAAGCGGATGCAATAGTCTTTCTAAGGTATGCCAAACATAATTCTTATGATTCTTCAGACAACAATCCTAAATAAATTAGAATATTTTATCTTCACACTTAAGAGACTATTAGATAAAAAATATTTTTACATATAAAATATATGTATTGTTATCATCACAACTAGAGATTAGACACAAAACTAAATCTTGTTCTAATAGTGTTGTGTATCCTTGTTTTGTAGGTAATAGATTATTGTTTTAATGATGATAACTCTTTAGTAAGACAAAAATGCAACATAATATCAACTTCAAAGTACATAAAAACATTAAGGATATTGAGGACGCAACAAGTTTTTGTTTTGACTATAAAGGAGAAAACAAATAATCAGCATGATAGAGATGTAAAGATGACAAATGTAAAAGAGGAGATAAACTAATATTCAACATAGTAAATATGAAACCCTTTAGAAAGTCAACCAATGTACTCAAAAAGGTTAAAGATGTAATCCATAAGGATTGATGTCGATTGACAAAGTCTCAATTGATAAATGAACGACAAAGGTTCATAGCAGATCAAAGCTTCAGACAAAGTAAAACAAGTAGATTGCATCACAAGCCTAAAAAGGGAGATCTCAAGAAAGGTGTCAACACAATGAATACATCAAACACATTCTTAAGAAGTTACCCCAATTTAATAAGTGAGTGAAACTTTTGTAAAAGAAAAAGTTCCTTATTTATAGAGGTAGTTGGCTATAAGCACACTCACATTTAAAATATTTTTTATAAAATGTGTTTGAAAATAAAATCCTTTGAAGAAATATATAGAAGTTTCTTAGAAAGGGATGGGAACATTCAAAAAGCTAGAATAGGCATTTTGAGTGTACTCAAAGGATTAGCAACGACTATATATCAATTCTTACAAACTTTTGAAAACATAGCCGTTACATTTAAATGATTTAATCGATTGGCTTGATCGATTAATAACAACCATTTTCATTCAATGTTGTTTCCTCTTTTAGAGGATTTGAAGCCTATAAATAGAGGTCTTATTCCTCGGTTTAAATCATCCAGAAGAAGAATTGCATATTAACACACACACACACACACTCTATCTCTCTCTCTCTCTAAGTTTTCATTTTCACTTTCTCTCACTAGTTCTTATAGCCAATTGTTTTTTTAGGAAATATCTTTTGTGAGTGAGATGTTGTTGTAATTCTAGATGGGTAGCAATGTAAAAGTTCTTCAATGTTGTTGTTTATGCACCTTGGATGAAACCAATCCATTTTACGGATAAAAGTATATGGTTGGAAGCTAAACCCGTTAAAGTCTTTGGTGTGGGATTGTGTGATCAGTTCATGATATTTGGTTAGGTTGAAGATCGTTAATATGGTTGAACATCCCTACAGGCTATCATAAAGCCTTGATAATTTGAAGGATAAAGTTCTTCAATATTGATGATCTTACCATTAGGTTCATGGTTAGCCTGTTCAAAACCATAGGTTAGAAGATAAACATGTTAAAATCTCAAGAGGTTAAAAGTTTTCCTATTAAACTATATTGCGCTCAGATATTTTATGGAGAGAAGCTTAATCACTTCAATCTACAGTTGGGAAGGAAGCTTGGTCATTTAAGTCTAAATAATGGAGAAGACACAAATGATCATACCATCCATCTTGTATTATCATGGTTGTAGGAAACAATCATTTCCTTGTATAAGGGGGTTTGTGAGCATCACTTATTAAATGCTCTCATGTAAGTTATGCCAATTCCCAACAAATTATACAAGTGACGAAGAAATGAAGAAATTATGTCAGTTCCAAAGAAATGGGATGAGTAAAGACAGAATGAAGAAATTACATTAGTCCCTTAAAAATGGGACAAGTAACGACAAAATGTAGGAATTATGCTAGTTCCCAACAAATGGGATGGTTAATGACAAAATAAAGAAATAACGCCAGTTCCCAATAAATGGGATGAGAAATGACCAAAAAAAAAAAAGGTATGTCAGTTTTGAACAAATGGGACAGGTAACAAAGAAGCAGACACAAAGTAACCAAGCAATCATAATTGGTAAGCGAACAAAGGCATAAACTCCATAAAAGTCAGAATATGATTTACAAATTTACAAATCCATGGAGGCATATATTTACAAGAATATTTGTTTTTACAAATAAAGTCACTCCAACCTCACAAACACACCATCAACCATCATGTTATTTATGTTGACCAAATCACGAGGAACTCTGATGTTTGGGAAAACACTTCAATTTGGTCCATCACATTCATAAAGTAAGCATTTCTAAAGCCTTTATAGGTGGTGACGGCAAGATCTTTCTCTAGTTAAGACAAATCATCGTGGTAGGCCTTTCCGTCTCTTCTTTTAGGGCCACTTCGGTCCTTGAAATTCGAGAGGAAACATCTACTAAAGAAGACCCCATATCATTAATAGTTTTCATATTCTCCTCAAGTGAATCCATCAAGTCGACTACCATGACGAATAACTCATAAGGTGCACCATGAACGTCCATCTCCTTCTTAAGGTCAGACATATTATCTACTTCTTTTTGGAGGTTAGATAATTCCTCCTAAAGATGGAGTTTCTCACAAATGAGTGTAATGCCCCAAATTTGTCCTACCTTTTCATAAAATCATCTGGCTTATGCATTCCGTTCTCATTTCATATGCATACCATCCATTAGGTCATTTAACAACATCATGCATCATTAATCAATAATTTGGCATGGGATCAAGGATATTAAGGAACTGGGGTTTATTTGTGCTTTTAGGATCTCATCTTCATTCAAGCTTGAATCAACTGGTTTATTTAACAATCATGGTGTGCAGCTAGGGTTTTGCGTTCATGGTCATTGAGAACTTCTTTTTTCTCATTAAGATACAAGGTTGTCATCTTCATCAAGGGCAGGGTCATTAGGGTTTCACTAAAGGTTTAAGTAAAGACTAAGTTAGCTAGGGTCTAAGTTCAAATTCATCTTGGATATCTTCTTCAAGGATCCAAGGCATTGTCATTCTATTGCTCATACAATCAAGACATGGTATAAGACGTGGATCATAATCAAGGCATCATTCTTTCAAATTGTTTGTTTCTTGTCAGGCGAGCTAATTTGGATTAAGGTTGAAGTGGATTTAAATGATCCCATGGATTCAAACTTGGTTCAATTCATCAAAGTTATTGGGAATTTACAAGGTTGGAAAGGAAATGGATTTCTTGAGATTTATGAAATAAAATACAAGTGCAAGGCATTCATTCATCATAATCATATTCACCTTATTCATCATTTTCTACACTTAATCATTTCATTATAAAAGCTATTCAACTTCATTCAAGTTCATGTTCACTACGAATATTCACTCAAGTTGCAAAAATCAAGAATCACCCATATACATTTAAATCCATTCGGGGTCCTTACAAAGTTCATCCAAGTAAAATTCCATGCATTTCAAATTCTGTTACAAGACATTATGAAATCCAAATTAATTTACATTTTCAACCATGACAAATTCATATTACATTCCAAAGAAACAACTACACAAAATTCGTAAGGTCCTAAGCTACTAAAGTTTCACAACGCCTTATCCTAACTATTATTCTTCAAACTCCAAGGATCACTTTTTATGCCTTATATTTTCCCCTGTTTCATTCTTCACCTTCATGCTCAAGAGCTATCGCTAAACCATTCCAGCCCTACTGCAAATCAACAAAACCTGCATTTAGAAAAAAACAGTTAACCATTCATTCTATTAGCTGCCCTGTTGTCTTGCAGTCCAAACAATTCGCAAATATGCTACTACGAACTAAAATCGTGCACATGAAGAAAACAGATGGCCTCAGCTCTAAACGATATTACTAACCAAACACAGACACCAAACGGTCCAAAACCAAACAGCATCATGAAACCATCCAAACACGTCAAAACCTGGCCCTGCAGTTGTTCAAGTCAATCAATTAATCAAAGATATCCATTGCCTACACAATCCGTTCATAATAATATTCCAAGTTCAATAAATAAAACCAGTTGAAAAGTTCACATTGATAAACAAAACAATTACTAACAACCAGCATTTGTTTATAACAATTTTTTTCCCTTTTACCAAAATTTTTGCTAACTCAATGTTTATTCATCTTTGGCATTTTAGCTTACAATAGCAAAAGAGCCCAATTTAACTCCTAACTAACTTTTCTCCATTCTAAAACAACTATAACAAAAATAACAAAACAGAAAACAAAATTTCAACCGATTCCTAATTGTTAACAGAATCTTAACCAACTTTCTAACCCCTAACAGAACTTTCTAACCAACTTCCTAATCTCTAACAGTTAATAACAGAAAGATAACAAAATTTTCACTCTAACCAACTGTGAAAACTAACTCTCCCAACCAACTTTTAAGTGATTTACAACTTCGTGTAACATATCCATAAAAAATTCCTATAACCAATTAACATAAATTTTCTAGTTAACTTCTTGACAGAAAAACATAACTCTCTAACAAACTTTCAGCAGAAAGCTAACAGATTCATAACAGAAAAGAGAGGGAGGGATTCATGATTCAGAAGAAAATAATAACAGAAAAAAAGGAACTCACCACAGATTTTTCCGGAGGCGGGCTCTCTTTGCTTCATCTTTAACTTTCTCTCTACCTCTGAAGATTCAATCACAATAATTATTCTTCACTGCAATATTTACCTTTATTGCTTCAACAACCTTTATCAACTTAAATCTTCAACAACTGCACCTTCATCTTTATTTGTTTCAGAATGCCCACCAATGATATCACAGAACAATTTCATCACAACTTCTTCATCATGCTTCCATCGTCCACCTTCACTATAGTTCCAGATTCGCATCGTCTCTGCAACAGGAACGACAACAACATCACAGTTTTGATCAACATTGCTTCGACACTCGTTATCATCATGATTCATCATCTTCATTCCTCAACAATAATGCACATAACAAATCATAAGCAGGAAAGAAATTTTCATGAGTAAGCAAAATAAGAAAGAAGAAGAAGAACATCGAAGGAATAGATACCTGATAATAGCGTCAGAATCTCCCCTCTGGTTTTCTAAAGCTAATCTTCTCCAAGCTACCGGTTCAGGTTTGATTTCTCTCGACTTATTTATGTCTTTTTCGCACAAGTACGATTGAGCATGGAGAGCACTTGATTTAGCTTTAGGTTCTTTTAGAGCATCAAATTCGAGAAAGATTCACAAGGATGATGGTAGTTATAGAAATAGTGCAGATAAAGATCGGTGAACAGAGAGATTAGTGGAGAGGATGAAGTCACTGTGAAGTGTCGAAGGATGATTGATGGGATCCGGAGTTTGAAACGGAAACAAAGAGATGAGGAATCGAATTCGCAGTGGCAACAAAGGTGACAATCCACAAAGCAATCGGGTGAGAGATGATGGCGAAGGATTGAATCGGAGAGGGTGTGAATACCTTAAGGCGGGCGAAGAATGTTGAGGATGATAATGTTCATAAAGAAGATTTGAGATCGGAGGAAAGAACCGGAGAAAGCCGCTGCGTTGTCTAAGCTTGAAAGGATTTAAAGCCCAAGAGTCACAACATTGTGAACCCTACTCCCTTTTCAATTCATTTTTGTTATTTTTTTTTTACTTTTTTTTTCTTTTAATAGAATAACTGAAGTAAAAAACTGAGAATGTATATAGAAAAAGAAAGGATTGGGCCATTGATGGTGTGTGGACCGAAATTGCTCTCTTAGGGCCCATGCCATGTTTTTTTGGAGTGAATGGTTGATCTGAACAAAAACTATGGTAGGATGAAAGAAGTTTCACTGGGCCTCGCGGTTTCTTACCCCCACTAGCCCCGTGCCACCTTTTTTTGAAGCTTAATATAAACACTGAACACAACAAAAAAACATAATTTTGGACCATTGATGAGTTGGGCTTAGCGCCCGACTTCTATACTATACCTCTAGAATCAATTTGATACTCCTATTTCTTTTATTAAATTTAGGATTTTTTTCTTTTAATTTTCTATGATAAAAAAAGTGTAAAATCAATAAAATTAACTAGTTTTCTTAATTAATTTTAGGAGTAAATTCTCTAGTTTTTGGTAGGTTTTTTCCATGATAAAAGCAATAAAGAATGGTAGAATATAATAGAATTTTTCTAGAAATTTTTTAGTTTTCGATAGAATTTATCCTCACATAAAAAACTAATAAAAAATACTTTTTCTTTTCAGTATTTTAGTCATATTTTTTTACACCATTTTACCTTGTTATTCTTGATGCGTTTGTTCAATGTGCAAGGTACATTCTTTTTACTTTCGATTAACGGGTAGTTATGTGACTGAAGCATATGACTTATGCTCGCTTTAGATGCAGCACGCCTTATTTCTCATCATCTTGAGTAATTCATATCATATTAAATGTTGTCCTGATACATGTGACATTTTGTGATACTTTATGCAGGAACTTCTGATTACGCGTTGTATTCGTAACGCGCATTTGCTTTTATCTTAGTTGGATATTGTTTCTGACTTTGTTTCTTTCTTGGTGAAGATTTCTCGATGCGTACTCCTTGTTTCTCCGTTGCTTTCATCTGCTTTTGATGATTTGCTTGCTTGTGGTAGTTATTGCTACTACCTTTGTATTTCTCCGCACTTTATCACATTCCTTTACCACCTTTCTAGAGATCATGAGAAGTAAGGCTTTACTGCTTTCCTTTCCATGAGAAGTAGGGTAGATATGTATGATGGAGTCTCTGTTGCTGATCATGTCAGGAACCCCCTCTGGTTTATTTAAAGAGCCATTTAGGGCAATTCCTCATTGTGTGCATTTTGTTTGTTATTTGTGGTTGTTTAAAACCCTACCTTTGTGTAGGTAGTATGCACGTGTGTTTATATTTGTGTCCGCATCTATTCCCCCATCCCTTATTGAAGTCCTCAAAATTAGATGTTGTACCCCAAAATTTTCCCTCCCATTTTCTTCAATACATTCTTCTAAGATTCTCAAATACTCAAGGATTCTCAAGAGTTGATTAGACAAACTCACCTCTTAAGCAATGGGTCCACAACTAGGGTTTCATCTTGTACAAATAAGATTGGGTTGCAAGGGTCTCAAATGACTTTCATGGTTTATCATAGGTCCTTAATAATGCTTATGTAAAGTTTCAAGTCTTGTATCACAAGTTTGCTTAGTCAAAGGCTCAGATGATTGAAAATCAATTGTGTTGGATAAAAAGTGAACTATGGTCAACATACAGTCAAACTTCAATATTTTTTGACTGGAGATGACTGATCATTGACTGTTGGCTTAGTACATGACCTAATTTCTTGAAGCATGGTCTCAAGGGCTCAAATACAACATATTGACCTAATTAAATGGCTCAAGACATTTCCAAATATAGAAGTGATTGACAGTTGAAAATTGAATCAATTGATTGAAAAGTCAACAGTCCTTCAAAAGTCAAACTTTGACTTTTTTGGTCAACATTGGAATTCAAAAATCAAGATTCATGAAAAAATTCAAAACAATCAAACTTTATTATCAAGAATCAAGAAAGTCAACAAAAATCAAAAATCAAGATTTTCAAACACTTAGAAAAATTCAAGTGTTTTGTACCTAAAAAACCCTAACTTCACAATCAAGTTTCCTAAAGATACAAGTTGATTCAAGGAAAACTTTCAACATGAATGTTGTAGAGATTGATGAATTCTACAACTTTGATATTGTGGGGTGATCCTAAAAAATTTCTTAGTTTAAGAAATATAAGCCCATGAAGTTATGATATTTTTTATCCAACACTTAGAAAATATTTCAACAAGTTTTGGTCAGTTTTTCATCTCAACTTCTTAATAATTTTCACCATGTTCCAATTTAATTCATCCAAAACTCACAACATGAAAGTTGTAGACAATGTTTCAAGCTTTCCAAAATGTCCTAGAAGACAATTTTATCATGCTTGAGCTAAAAGTTTCGAAGAGATAAAGTTGGGTATCTAAGGTTGCATTATAGGTCATTTTTGTGACAAGTTCATAACCAAATCTTCAAGCCATGCTGCATAATCTTACTTTACAGGCTTCTAACCTCCAAATCAATCCATAATCAGAATATTACACAAACCTTTGATCCATTATCCATGTGATTCAAGTATTATCCAATCCATTTGTCCATTTAAGGAAAAAAGATCACACTTCCATTATTGTAAAGTGACTTTAATCATAAAGTCCACTCCTTGAGCCTCTAACTTGTTTATTTTGATCACACTCAACATGAATGCTCAGAAGAAACATCTCTAAGCCTATCAACCACCCTACATTTCCTTGGAACCATGACTTTGCGAGTTCCTTCAAAACCAAGCTTCAAAACCATAACTTGTTATCTCAAGATTCTAGTTACTTGAAGATGTCAAACCTTTTCTCTATAAATATAGAGGTCATTTGCAAGCTAACACACGATTACACAAGCCCTCTAACCCTCTCAAACTCTCCAAAATAAGAATTGGCCTAAAAAACTCCATTTTTGAGCTTTGAAGTCCAAATCTCTGAATCTCTCAAACCTTGCAACTTTTGTCCAAACCAATCATCCAAACACTTCAGATACATCATGTGTAGTTGATCCAAACCCTTGTTTCATCACTGTAACATTATCTTCATCATCCACCATTTTTAAATTCCAACCTTGCAACTTGACTTGAGTAGATCATTCCAACCACTCTCAAAGAAAAGTAAGTATTTTAACACACTCCTCAAGATCCCAGCAAGCTAAAACAATCATCATCTTGCTTCTGGAAGTGCTTGAAGAAGGGTTGGACTTTCTCCAACTTGGTACGTTTTTCAAACTTTGAACTCCTTATTTAAGCATCCTTTGTGCATACATTCTAAAGATAAAATGTAGATATCATGTCTATGAAGCTAAACATATCTTTAGTTTTCTTTTTAGTGGACTATGTGATGAGAATTTTGGAAATGATTTTTCTGAAGTTTTAGGGTTCAGTTTGGTACCAAACAAAATTCATCCTAACCATTGATCTATAGCTTTTGAAATTTATATGGTTGGATTTATGATCAAAAATCCAGTAAGTTTGGTTTTGGAAGTTTTCAATTTGGTTGAGAAATAGAGATTTTCGAAATCAATAATGGAGTTGTTGTCACCTGCGCGCATGAGGAAGAAGAAGTTGGCAAATTCAAAATTTATGAAGTGAGTTTATAATATATTTACTGGGGGGAGTTTCATAACCGGATGAAACAGCCACCCCAGTGGTAAAACAAATGCACGCTAAATAGAAGGACTTGGGTTCAAGCCCCAACGGTACCCTTTTATTTTCCACACAATTGTTTCTTGCAGATTCAATACAAATAAGTCAATGGTGTGCATGGTGTACATCACACCTTGACTTTAAAATTTCAAAAGGGCCAGATCCAACGCCCTAAGACGCATGATCATGATGCCCCCTCATAAAACCACCCTCACTGAATCACAACGGGCTCCTACGCTCTCTATCTCGGGCCTGGAGCTTTTGCTTTCTTTTCACCCCCCCCCCCCCCCCCCCCCCCCAATTGCTTTTACACTCAGGCCCATTAAATTTCTTTTTGTTGTTTTTTTTAATTAACCATTTTCTTTTTCTTTTAAATATTTTTATTTAAAATCAGAAAAAAAATCATAAAAATGATTTAAAAAAATTAGATTTACATTTTAATTAAATAATTTAATTTTTGACAAATAAAAAGTAATTTAATTTAATCACTTTGATTTTATTTTATTAGAACTCTATTTTATATTTCAATTATTTTTGTAAATAAAACATCAAAAAATATTTTCTAAATAATTAGAATTCTTTAGATTTTAATCAACTAATTTAATTTTTTATAATAAAGATTAAATCACACCTTATTTTATTTTAAATAAATAAATTGTAAATTAAATTAGAATTAGGTCTAATTCTTTTATTTCGCATTTCAAATA